TTTCTCCAAGGTTATACGAATGTCCCTACTTTAGTGTCTGAGTTTAGTAATTTGGGGATTCTCTCTGTTTTCTTGATCAGTCAAACTAAGGATTTGTCAGTTTTGTTGATCTTTTCACCTAATCAGCAGTAAGTTTTGCTGATTCTTTTTTTTTCTCTCAGTCTTGTTTCTGCTTCTTTCTGCTGTAATCTTTATTGTTTCCTTCTTTTCACTTGATTTTAATTTACTTTGCTCTTCATTTTCTAGTTCCTTATGGTGGAAAGTTTGGTTGTTGGTTTGAGATCTTTCTCCTTGTATAATGTAAACATTCACGGCTATAAATTTTCCTCTGAGCATTGCTTTTGCTGCTTCCCCATACGTTTTGCTGTGTTATATTTCTGTTGTCATTCATGTAAACGTAGTTTCTAATTCCCCTTGTGACTTTTTCTCTGACCCATTGGTGGTTTCTGTGTATTATTTAATTCCCACGTATTTTGTAATTTTCCTGTTTTCTTTGTATCACTGATTTCTAATTTCATTCCATTGTAGTCCGAGAAGAAACTTTGTATGCTTTAAATCTTTTAAACCTTTGTCAGGCTTGCTTTGTGTCCTGACATAGTCTCTATCTTGACAACATTCTGTGCATGCTTGAGGGGAATGTGCACTGTACTGTTGTTGGGTGGAGCGTCCTCTGTAGGCTCTCTCTTTATTGGGGTTTCTAGTATAATTGCACTGTGGCTGAAGGACACGTGCTTTATGCTCCAGTATCTGGTTATTTTTTCAACTGTTCTCTCTGTGTTATTTTGAGGTCATTTGTGAATCACATTGTTCAAATCTTCCTATCTGACAAGACTGGTTTTTTTCTTTGTCTACACTACCTTTTCCTGAGGAAGAAATGTTAAACTGTACCATGATAATTGTGACTTGAGCTGGTTCTTCATGCCCGTTTTCCATTTCTGTATGTTGAGGATTTGTTAGTAGGTAAATGCGAAGTTGTTATACCTTCCTTTGTGGCTATGAAGTGGCCCTCTTTACTTCTACCAGCATTGGCTTGCCTGAGGGTGTATTGTATTTGATAATAATGCAACAACATCAGACCTTCATTAATAGTTGGATAGTAACCTTTTCACTGGAACGTTCCATGTATTCCTGATGGAGTTGTGGTTCAGTCCATCTTGTTTGCTCTTTTTCTATCTCGACCTCTTTTAGATTGAGTACCATCATGACCCTTCCTTATGTCCAGTTTTGATTCTTCCTGATTCCTCTGCGTTCACTGTGAGTGCTCTCCAGTGTGTGTGTCCACTATGCCATGACCTCAAGCCACTTCATCATGACTTACCAGCTCCCAAATTATAGACAGATGTTGGTGTTGGTGTTGAGTGTTGTCGAGTCCATTCCGACCCATAGCGACCCTGTATAAGGCTTCCACGGAGCAGCTGGTAAGTTTGAACTGCCAACCTTGCAGTTAAAATGGCTTTTCAGTCTGGCACATTAACCCACAGCACCACACCAGGACCCCTAGGCAATGCTTAATGACCAGTGTATTCTATGAAACAGGTTGCCGTGTGGTTTGGACATTGTGTGGACACCATATTAAAACCACTTCTGGTGGTGATGTGCTGTGGAGTCGGGTCTGACTCATAGCCACTCTGCATAGGATTTCGAGGCTGTAAATCTTCACGGGAGCAGGAAGCCTCATCTTTCTCCCGCAGAACAGTTGGTAGTTTCGAACTGCTGACCTTGAGGTTAGCAGCCTGACTTGTAACCACTTTTGTTTGCCCTGGTTATTACAAGTGCTGCTGAAGCTTCTGTGGAGGCTGGGGGAATTGGTGCTGGCTGCAGCGGCTCACGGCTCTAGAGAATAAAAACTTAACTGTAAACCACAGGGTCGGTGGTTCGAGCCTACCAGCTGCTCCTTGAGAGAAAGATGAAGTCTACTTCTGCAAAAATGCACAGCCTTGGAAACCGTATTCAGAGTCATTATGAGTGGGGACCAGTCACCTCCACCACAGTGGAAGAGAGTGTGGGGACGGGAGGGAAGGAGCAGGGAGAGTGTGGTCAGTCCCACCTACTGCTTCTTCCCCTAAGCAGCAGTAGGAGCAGCCCAGGCCCCACAGCTCACCACCGCTGTCCAGAGGACGCAGCCTGAGACCCCACACCCAGAGCCATGCCCTCTGCTTCCCCAGCTTTCATCCCACCTGTGGCTCTGTGCTGTGAGAGTCTGGGCTGGGGTCTTTAAAACCATCCTCATTGTTGTTGCTGTGTGCTGTGAGTCGGTACTGACTCAGCGACCCTGTATGGGGTTTCCGAGGCTGTAAAGAAGCTCTGGTAGCGTAGTGGTTATGAATCAGGCTGTGAACCGCAAGGTCAGCAGTTCAAAACTACCAGCTGTTCCACGGGAGAAAGATGAGGCTTTCTGCTCCCGTAAAGATTTACAGCCTCAGACCCCATACAGGTTTTCTATGAGTCGATCCAACTCCTCCGCACATAACAACAACAACAACAACAACAACAAATCTTTACAGGAGCAGAAAGCCTCATCTTTCTCCCATGGAGCAACTGGTGGATTCGAGCGGCTAACCTTATGGTTAACACCCTAACGTGTAATCCACTCTCCCACCAGGGTTTCAAACCATTCATGGAAAATATTAAACAAAAGGAAAGCTGCTTTTCCTCTAAAAAACGAAATAGCCTTGTGGGGCCGCAGACAGCTGGACATTGCTGGAATGCCCGTGAAGTGACGCATGACCGCACTCCGGTCGCCCTGAGTTCTACAGAGCTGGTTTTATCCCACAATGCATTATTCACCCTATTACTCATGTGATCGTTGTCATTAGATGGAGTCTCAGGCTCTCTTGGTCTTCCTTTGCTTTTCACGTCCCCTTCTTGAAGTTGGTTCTTTAGAACTGATTTTAGAAGAAGTTGGCCATTGATGGATTATTTGTCTGAACTCTCTATTTTTGCCTTCAGTAATGAGATCTGTTTTATCTAGGTGTGAAAAGATGTTGACAGCTCTTCTCTTTCCACTCATTGAAGCTACAGCTCCATCACTGTTGGGTTTTTCCACTGTCATTTCTTATTGTGAATTGGGTGCAAGTTTGCAAAGCCATCCATCCCACAGTTCACACACATTGTGTTTCCCACCATGGATTACCATGCTCACAATGTAACCTCATTTATCCCACGTCCTCTGTGTTCCCTGTTCCCATTCCTTCTTCCTTCCTGACCCTTCTGAATGTTGTCCTTGGGTTGACTAGTCTAAGGAGTGCGTACCCCCGTTATAGGCATGTCTGTCGTTTGGCTGACAGCTGAGCTGGGGTGAGTCGGTTCTAGATGTGAAAAGGTGCCTAAGGACCATTGTCTCAGGGATTCCACCAGGCTCTATCCAACCAGTTAGCCTGGACTTTTTATGATTTTGAGTTTTGTTCCACATTTCCCCCAGTCTATCCAAGACCTCCGAGTGTGATCCCTTTCAAAGCATTGAGCTGCACTGTTTCTAGCTCCTATTGTCATCTATGGTAAATCAGCTGTCCAGTTGTCACGCCCTTTAAGGGACTCTGTCTGTCTTCTCCTTTGAACATTGTCTTCTTGTCATTGACTTTTTGCACTTACAGCATTTGTTTGGTGTGTATTTGAAAAAATAACTTCCATGTCTGATGAAATTTTGAAGCTTGTCTTTTATATCTTTGAAGATAGTATATTTGGTTGTTTTCTCATCTGTGTCTGATCGTTCCAGTATCTGATGCTTCTCTTATTTTGTTTCACATTAATGCCGTCTTGCTGCCTTGTGTGTTTGATTATCATTGACTATGTCCTGAGTTTTGTATTTAAAGAATTATTTGCAGAAAAAATTGGAGATAAAGATGATGCTAGCTCCTTCCAGCGAAGGTGTGGTTTTCTTTTGCCTCTGCCTGCAACCTAGGCATTCTACCAGTCTGGGACCACCATAATCCAGACTTCAGATCTGAAGTGCCCTAGGTTGCTCAGGTAGAGTGAAGCTAGGTGATAAGTCTGCACAAAGCCGTTGATTTGGGGTTCACTCTGAGGAGAAACCTTTTCCAGTTCCAGTTTAATGCGAGGGTTTATCAGACTCTCTACTTGGATGTTTACCTCTCTTTCCCTCCAAAAGACTACTCAGTTTTTTTATATAGCTGGTATTTCTAAGTCTGCAAGTGCACGAAGGGAGAAAACAGCATCAAGTGCTTGGTTTACCTCTACTGTCTCCCTGCGCTAGATTCGGGATTGATAATATCCTACTCGCTTGTTCATGCTTTGGTGTTTGCACGACAGCAGGTGTATTTATGGGCCCGTCCCTTGGTCTGACTTGCACAGCCCTTGCTCACTCAAAGGGGAAGTGCACAGAGTCTTTTCTGAAAGGACAGTTCTGAACACATTCTTCCCCAGAAATAAATAATAAACATACAGAAGCTGACATTCTGATCGTGAACTCATTTGGTCTTGTCCACGGCCCTGTTTTACAGGTTAAAAAACAAAACACAGAGCATGGAAAGGTCCGAGGATAACGTACCTGATGGTTGATTGCATGGAGAGTGAGGTACAGAGTCGAGCTTTGAACCAGGGTTGCCTGGCTCCAAAGATGCCTCTCGTCTCTGCTCAGGGCTCCCCACTGCCTAAGGCCTGTGAATAAACCCCTCCAGCTGACTCCAGACCTGCCACTCTCCCCAGCTGTGCTGACCTCCTCATTCCACCTTCATTGCTGGCATGCTGTGCCTGGCCTTGCCCTCCCGGAGCTGAGGAGTGGAGGAGATGCTGGACAGCTCTGTGTGTCCAACCTGCCCAAGGCCAGCAACCGAGCAGGGCTGCACCCTCTGCGGGACACCAGAGTACAGATCAGCCTCTTGCCCTGACCATGCAACCTGTCCAAGAGAGGACAGAACGGGACCAAGTGGCCTTGTATCAGGGACGGGGACTGTCAAGCCATCCTGGGGATGCCTGGTCCAAGACTGACTCACCACGGCGCTGGCCTGCACTGACACCACCTCTGGCTTTCTGTCTGACAGGTGAATAACAATGGGATCATCTCCTTCCTGAAGGAAGTCTCCCAGTTCACGCCAGTGGCCTTCCCCATCGCCAAGGACCGCTGTGTGGTGGCAGCCTTCTGGGCAGATGTGGACAACCGGCGTGCAGGTGACGTGTACTATCGGGAGACCACCGACCCAGCCACTCTTGGCAGAGCCACGGGGGACATCAGACGCTACTTCCCTGAGCTCCCAGACTTCTCTGCCACGTGGGCTTTCGTCGCCACCTGGTATCGAGTGACCTTCTTTGGAGGCAGTGCCTCTACCCCAGTGAGTCTGAGGCATTGGTCCTAGGGAGGGAGGGATGCCAGCTGGGCTCCACATTGTCCCCACCCCAGGGCCCACAGCCTTGCTGATGTGGTCGGGAGAATCGGTGTCCCATGTCCATGCAGAGAAATCAAACTCGAAGTACTCATTCAAGGTGACAGATCCAGGGCAGAGTAGGATGGAGACTCTTGAGTACCATCCAGAACTTTCTCCTCCTGGAGTCCCCAAAGACATCAAGAGCTCCTGTCTGAGGCTGGGCTCTCTAGAGAAGCAAAGCAGTGAAACTTCTATATGTGTATGTATATAGAGATGTTTATATCAAGGAAATAGCTCACAGTCGTAGAGTCCTAAGTGCCCATTGGAAATGAAAGCCCATATTTCCTGTATGTTCATTATATTTGGAGCAGGCCACATCCCTAAGGAAACATCTTTTCAGTTGATTGGCTGCTCATAGCCAATCACCACAGAGTTAGTTGTATTAGGTTTCACCATGGTGAGAACCACATGGCCCAGTCAGGTTGACACAAAACCTTAACTAGTGACATCATGATGTGGAGGAGGATTTCCATTTGGGGTCCTAGCCTCCTAGTACCACTGGGACAGATCCCACTAGTGGGTGACATCAGAAAGAACAGTCTGGAAGCTGGAAACATTGTCTGAGCTCCTCAGCTTGCTGTTGCAGGGATGCACCATGGTCTTTGTGTGTGTGTGTGTGCTTTTCCTGGTCTGCTTCCCTATTTTATAACGCAGAAGAAATTAGGTTTAGAAACACGCCCCCACCCTGTGGCCCCACTAACATCACAAGAGAAAACCACTATTTCCAAACCTGGTCGCATTGCATGCACAGGTATAGTGGTCAGAGCCTCAGTTTACCTTCTGGGCTGGGGGTGGGGAAGGACGTGTACTTCAACCCATGACTCAGGACTCAAAGGGTTAAACTGGGGAATTACTATTTTTACTTCATTCCTTGAAAATGCCAAACTGCAAAACTGCACACCCAAGAATGACCTCACACTTTGCCCGGACTAGACGTCCCGAGGCTGGGAGTGTGTTTACTGAGCCACGTCTGAGTCACTACTAGACACAGGACAGAGGCTGAACCTCTTGGCAGAGGCACAGGGACCCAATGGGTTTAGCCTCATCCATGTTATCTGGGGGTGTCTATGGTTGACTTCTAAAGGTGCCCTGGTGGTGCAGTGATTAAGCGCTAATTGAAAGGTCTGCAGTTCAAACCCATCACCCACTATGTGGAAGAAAGGCATGGCCGCCAGTATCCGTAAAGATGTGCAGCCCTGGAAACCCTACGGGGTCTTCCGCTCCGCCTTACACGGTCAACTGAAATCCAAGTCAGCAGACTTAGGGTCTCATCTGACCCTTCACATCCTTTTATTCTTGACTGCTTGCGTTTTGCAGCTTTTCCTTTTAAACCTTTATATTATTTACCAAAAAAAAAAAAGTGTATCAAGAAAAACATATTCAATTTAGGCATATAGTATAATAAGCCATGGTGAGTACTTGAAACTGCCCCCCCACCCAAGTCCACCATGGGAGCCCCACACAGTCCCAAAGCCCACTGTGTCCCTTGCTGGCTATAGCCCCACTCGTGACTTTGGACAACCCTAATCACTGTGTCTGTTATTGATTGCACCACACATCCCAACCTAGGATAGCCCCCGATCTCTGTGTCCATCACTGGTTGTAACGTCCCCTCATCCCCACCTCAGACCAGCCCGACCTCTGCGTCCATCACTGGTTGTAACGTCC